AAACAAAAAGCAGACTGACTAAACATCATTGATTCCTTCTGGTTAAATCAATCTGAACTCTTCATCTTTGAGTCTTGAGATAGTATTGTCTTTCTTGTAGAGTCTTCGCCTTTCCTTTGAGTTTTGAAATTGCTGACCCAATTCTACAAGGAATTTCCAGCAGCTATTATGAAATCCTTAAAAATACTTGCTTTAAAAAATTATCTTATTAAAAAATTATGTTCCAGCCGGTGGCTCATGCTTATAATCCTAGCTACTCAAGGCTAGGATCTCCAAGGTTGAGATCTGAGGATTGAGGATCTCGGTTCAAAGCCAGCCCGGGCAGGAAAGCCTGTGAGACTCTTACCTCCAATAAACCATCAGAAAAAATGGAAGTGGTGCTATGGTTCAAGTGGCAGAGCACTCGCCTTGAGCTGAAGAACTTAGGGACAGCGCCCAGGTCCAGAATTCAAGCCCCACGTCAGACAAAAAAAAAATCCACACTCTAGTAGTTTCATTATTTTATACAACTCAGGCAAATATGTTTCTGGAAACCTCTTTGTTTTTGTGTGCTGATAAAACTATACTAATTTTCCAGTTAAATTGTTCAAGAAAAGCTTCAATTTGTTGGTTATGGGGCTTGAACTCAGGGCCTGGGCGCTATCCTTGAGCGTTTTTGCTCAAGACTAGCACTATACCACTTTGAGCCACAGCTCCACTTTCAGTTGGACATGAGTCTCACGGACTTTCCTGCCCAGGCTGTCTTGGAACCACAGAACCACCATCCTCAGATCTCAGCCTCCTGAGTAGCTAGGACAATAGGCACAGGGCAAGCTTCAATTTCTATTAGTTAAAAGCTCTTCTTTGGTGCTGGGCGCTGGTGGCTCATGCCTTTAATCCTGGATACTCAGGGAGGCTGAGATCTGAGGATCACAGTTCAAAACCAGCCAGGGAAGTTAAGTCCATGAGACTCTTATTTCCAATAAACCACTAGAAAACTGGAAGTGGCACTGTGGCTCAGGTGGTAGAGCCCTAGCCTTGAGCTGAAGAGCTAAGAGACATTGCCCAGGCCCAGTTCAAGCCCCTCCCCAACCCTCCCCACAAAAAAAAAAAACAAAAAAACCCTCTTCTTTGGGGGCGAGAGGGTAGTAGTAGAGTACTTGTTCAGCATATGTGGGAAAGCCCTGGGATCGCCAGTAAACTATTTGAAGCAAAAATAAAATTAAAAACAAATCTGTATTAAATGCAAGGTTTTGTTCCAGCTCATGTATTGATCATACCAAATGATCTCTATTGTTTTGTGTGCTGGTCCTAGGGCTTGAACTCAGGGTCTAGAAATTTTTCCTAAGGTTCTTTCACTCAAGGCTCTATCACTTGGAATCACAGCTCCATTCCAGTCCCCTCCCCAACCAAATTTATACCTTGAGTCTCACAGGCTTTAAATCATGATTCTCAGATCTCAGCCTCTGAGTAGCTAGGATTACAGCTGTGAGCCACCAGTGCCTGCCATCTCATTTATTTATAAGTACTGGAGTGCAAATGCATGGCTTCACAATTGCTAGGCTAGTGGTGCTGCTACTAATACTTGAGCCATACCTTCAGCCAAAAGATGTCTTTTAAAGAGGTTATTTTTTACTGTCCTTCAAATTTCATCAATTTAAGTCCTTATAATGCAATCATTTCTATAATGCAGATGGTAGAAAGCCTATAGTTTATACTTGCTTTCCTAAAGCATAAATGCCCTAGTTTTGTCCTCTTTAGTACAAGAATAAACAAATCTCAATGTTTGTTCTTCCTTCTCAGACTTCTGAATTAATTCAGCTACTCCCTATGAAGTTTGAGCACCTCGTATTTTTCCTACTCAGTATTTATTGTTGGTTAATATCTGTATTATTCATGTGCCTGAAAAAGAGCCATACACAAAAAGGTCCAAACATCAATGGTTTGGATAAATGTTTATTAGTAAACACCAATAGTTTGAATGCATGAAAGTGTTTTCATGCTAGTTTTGAAATGTATCAAATCCTTACTTATAGACTTCAAGTTACATTCAATTTGACTATACAGAAGCCAAGATCATCGTGTTTTTTGGCTGAAAAATTTTTAATAGAAGAAATACTGAAGATTACAAAAATTTCCTAAGGGTTACACCTATGTAGACATTTCCAGAAAGAAGTTGTCTTGTGACTTTAACTGAGCATCACTACCCCACAATACTGAGAAATTTGGGAAATTATGTAACCACTTAATCACAATAAAAAAATTAAAAACAAAAAACAGGACAGTTCTTCAGTATTCTAATTGTAACAAAATGTAAAAATTTTAATCTACGGTGAAGTAATTAATACTTTGTATTAGATAATTTAAAAACTACTAAAAAAAAAAAAGAAAAAGAAGTTGTCAACCTTTTTAAAGACTATGTAGCACACTCTAGTCTCAAAAATCCCCCAGCTACAACTTTCCTGTTGAGTCTACAAACACGCACCCCGATGCCTTGCCAAGTATTAATTCCTTGAATTTTGGAGGCATCTAATCACATTAGAATCACCAATTCAAAAAATGATGTGATACTATTATGGATCTCAAGGCTTTACTTTAGGGATTTAAAGGGTGCAGTATGCACTGAAATGTTTATACAAAAAGTTTCCTAACAAAAGGTCTTACATGAACTCACTACTACAGGCTTGTTTTTCAGTGGCAAACGTACTTTCTCATGGTCAGTCTTAGAACTCTGAATATTTTGTTAATACAGTTATTTTCAAGTTATCTGGTTTTAAATTATAAAATAGTAATGTGAGAAAATGGGTTGAAACATTGTTTTTGATTACATTCTAAATAGGTCATCTTTAATGTGATATTTATTGGCGTCATACTTTTAAAACCACAAATATGTTTAAAAATTCATAATTTTCTTTTTTTGTAGGTCATGGGACTTGAACTCTGGGCCTGGGCACTGTCCCTGAGCTCATCAGCTCAAGGCAAGTGCTCTACTGCTTGAGCCACACCACTTCTGGTTTTCTGGTAGTTAACTGGAGATAAGTCTCATGGACTTTCCTGAACTGAGATCCTTAGATCTCAGCCTCCTGAGTAGCTAAAGATTACAGGCCTGAGCCACCGGAGTCCAGTGATTCATAATTATTAACCGTAAGAATTTTTTTAAAAAAAATGTTGGGGTTCAGTGATTTGGGATGCTAGGCAAATGTTCTACCACTGAGTGAAAGCCTCAGCTGAGGAATTATTTTTGAACACTAAATGTGATTTCCAGTTTTAGAACAGGTATTTTGATAAATTCAATATGACTACTGAAATAGAAAAGTATCTATATTTGCTCAAAGAGAAGTCTAAAACCAGAATATAGATATATCTATTTCAGCAGGGTTTTTTTTGTTTTGTTTTTTTGTGGGTTGTGGGGCTTGAACTCAGGACCTGGGCACTGTCTCTGAGTTCTTTTGCTCAAAGCTAGTGCTCTTCCTCTTTAAGACACAGTTCCTCTTCCAGTATCCCAGTAGTTAATTGGAAATAAGAGTCTTATGGCCTTTCCTGCCCAGGCTGGCTGTGAACTGTGGTCCTTAGATCTCAGACTCCTGAGTAGCTAGGATTCTATGCGTGAGCCACTAGGGACCTGGTCTCAGAAATTATTTTTCTTACTTCTGACTAAAATTTTTCAATGATCACTTCTACTCAAAATGCTTTTCATACCATGTGAAGATATACTACCAAGCAGGATACGCAGATATGACAGAGAAAGAAGTCTGAAGATAAACAAGATGTATCTTTTCAATATCATATTTATTGAAATATCATGATTACCTTTATGCATTTTTACATTATATTATTTAATGGATGATAAATGAGTACTATTTTATAGATTAAATTCAAATTAATAGAAAAACACCTCTCTGTTGTGGTAAGTCCTTCCTTCTTCCTGGCACAGCAATTAATTAGACTGAAAAATAGAGTGGGAAAGTCAGGTACTGGAGGCTCAAGCTTATAATCCTAGCTACTCAGGAGGCTAAATTTGGAAAATTGAAGTTTGAAGTCAGCCCTGCAGAAAATTCCACAAGAATACCTACAAAATAACCAGCCAAAAGTAGTTGAGTACCAGCTGTACTTGGTGGGGGGAAGGGGAGGGAGGGAGGGACTTGAGAATGTAGCTCAGTGTAAATAAATGAGGCACAATTAAGGATAGAAGTATTACTCCTCATGTGCATTAAGGTAGAGAAATAGGTTAAGAACTATAAATAGGAAGTTGGTATGGTTGTACCTACCTATCTACTGAAGGCCGAGGCAGGATGATTTTGAGCTTAAGACCTGCCTAGGCAATAAAGAAACCCCACATCAACAACAACAAAACCCAAGAAAATTCCATACCTGCAGATAAAACAGGTTCAGATCTTAGAAAGCATGGTTAATGCTGGTGTTAAAGTAGTACTTTGTATACACAAGAAATGTGAATTAGCTGCAGGAGACTAAAGAGAAATGGTATAAAAGCAAGTACAAAGTTTTTAAGAAAATATTAGAACTAGGTCTTTGAGATAAAATTGAAAAAATTAGGAAGGTTGATGGTGAATGATGAAGTACCACGCCACAGAGTTTGAATTTTATCCTGTAGGAAAATGCAGTGTTTTAAATGAAAATAATTAGAAGCAAAGGGCTACTCTGTTAACATGCTGTTGAAATTTTAAAAAATAAATAAAGTATTTAATGCAACATCAATTCCAAGGCTGGAGGAATAAAAGATGATTGTGGTCTGTTTGGGGGCAGCTAATAAATGTGAACAAATTCTGTGTTTCTTGAAGTCTTTGTTTTTGACTCCAGCTGAATTGATCAAATGGAAAACAATTCCAGAGCCATGAAAGCACAATAAAACCTAATCATTACACAATACCTATCAGTCTTATCCATTAAACACTGTTTTGTACTCAAAATGGTGTTAGAAAGTTCAAATCTTGAAGTCAGATTCTTAAAATCGTTTTATCTGCATAAGTCAAATGGATTGAAGCAAAAGTTGTCTTCATAAGTACAGAAAATTAAATTTATTCATTTAACAGCCTAAACAGCTGTGACATTTGGCTTCTATAAACTTTCGTTTTTATTACTTTTTCCTTTTATAGCAAGTCATACATACCTCTCCTCACTATTTCTTGTATAGACCAAAATGTACCAGCTTCAGGATCTTTATATTTGTTATTTAACCGGTTTGAAAGGTTCTTCTGGATACCCACAGGGCTTCTTCCCACTTTCTTTTTGTTCATGTCAGCTCTAGGAGGCATTTCTTAAACATACTATCTGAAAATACACTCTGCTTTCCCAATATCTTCACTTTTATTTTGTAATATTTTAGCATGCTTATATTTAAAGCTTTCATGTGATTGTCTTAAAATGCCACTATATTTATTTGGAATATTCATATACAGAAATAGATTTGACTCCCTTCTCCCCACCGCCATCCTTCTAGCCTTTCTCCGTAGACTTTATCACTATTTCAAAAAGTACACATACATCTTAATAGTTTGTCACTTCTATTATCTACCTACCCACTTTCAACAATGATTGTAGGCCCCATAAGGGCTAAATTTATGGTTTGTGATGATCAGCCCTACTAAAGTAGAAAAATTTTGTACCTTCCTATATATAAGTGTTTCAAATAAATATGGCATTTTAAACTAATCACGTGAAAACTTAATATATAAGCCTGCTCAAATAGTACAAAATAAATGTGTAAATAAGAAAACTATGGGAAAGTTTAAAGTTTCTAGCACTTTTTAAAGACATTTTAATTTTTGGCAGTGCCAGATGGGATCAAATCTAAGGCTTTATCATATGCTAAGCAAGTGCTTTACCACTGAGTTACATCCTAAACCTTTTTGCTGATTTGATTTTCAGATAGTCTCATGCTTTTGCCTGGATCAGCTCTGGATTGATTTTTCTACCTCAGTACTCACCTTGTGAGTACTGGTATTCCTCTGGGCTATATAGAAAAAAAAAAACTTACTAGAAAAACATATAGACAAACTGAATAAATGTTAAATAAGCTACATTTACTAAAATAAAAATAGCTTCTAATTTTTCTTTTGGGGTCTAGGTGTAGCTTTGCAGTAGAGTATTTGCCACATGTGTGAAGCGGTGGGTTTAAATCCCAGAACTGCAAAAAGAGAAAACAAAAAAACCCCTCAAATACTTGAGATGTATTTCTAGTGGAAGAGTTAGTTATTAAAAAGGCTGCTTAAGCTACTAGTAATAAAAAGGAGTTTTTAAGAATTTCCTTGATAACAGTAAGAAAACAGATGGGAAGGTATTGATGATCATCTCCTACTTCTCCCAGGTATGTTAAGTAATAGCTAAACTTACTAGCATCAGACCTATCTCAAATGGTTAGGTCATTAATTTTTTCACCATTCTGATAATGCTCAAAGAGAAATAACACTTAAGAATAAAACTTTTTCCATGAGGTACAGATAGTAATATCCACCTGCAAAGGGAAAAAAAATACAATTTAATTTAGAATGTCAAATTCCAAGTAAATATTACATAGAGAACATATTACAATAGAGAACACAGTTTATGGACCTATTAATTTTGCTAATCCAACAATGGCTAGCTTGTGCATGTAATATCTGTAGGCTTAAAAACACCTAAATACTATAGCCAAATGATACATGATTGAAGAAAATCTTTAACATTAAAGCTTAATTTTTTCGGTTTTCAAATCTACTCATGCATTAGTCTGTGTCCTCTTAATGAATTTGTACTTGAATATAGGATGCAAACTGATTGAAATAGTTCTGAAATAGTTTTCTTACTAAGTCACAGATACTGCTAGAAGCCCAGCTTTAAACTCAATCCATAGCTCAACAAGATGAAGACACTCAAAATTGGAATTATTTAGCACTAACTTTTAAAAGAAAACTTGGATTAAAAAAAACACATTAGAGCCGGGCACTTGTGGCTCACGCCTGTAATCCTAGCTACTCAGGAGGCTGAGATCTGAGGATCGTGGTTCAAAGCCAGCCTGGGCAGGAAAGTCTGTGAAACTCTTATCTTCAATAAACCACCAGAAAACCGGAAGTGGTGCTGTAGCTCAAGTGGTAGAGCACTAACCTTGAGTTGAAGATCTGAGGGACAGTGCTCAGACCCAGAGTTCAAGCCTCATGACCAACAAAACAAAACAAACAAAAACAACAAAAAGATCCAAAAACCCCACATTAACCCCCAAAAGTAAAAAAGAAAATAAAACCTAATAAACAACTATATAGCTATTTCTTCTTGCAAAATAAATTGCTAGATTACAATTGACTAATAAAGGGTATAAATTATTTTACCACTAGCTTTTTGGATGTTCAAAATTAGTTACAAAGAGTTTGTTAACTTTACAAATAAAACTTCCAGTCCTACTGGGTGCTGGCAGCTCACACCTATAATTCTAGCTACATAAGAGGCTGACATCTAAAGATGGCACTTCAAAGCCAGCCAGATTCTTATTTTCAATTAACTACCAAAAAGCTGGAAATGGAGCTGTGGTTCAAGTGGTAGAGCACTATGCTTGAACAATAAAGTTCAGAGACAGTATCCAGGTCCTAATTTCAAGCTGCAGAACCAGCACACAGAAAAATCCAACACAACAACAACAACAAAAAAGTTCTAGTCCTGTTGAGTTACCTAAACATGTATTTTATTACCAAATGACTGGGAAAAAACTATGTACAATTAAAATAAAGATTTTTTTTATGGTGGTAGGTATAAAGAAAAGCATATGCTGTACCTGTAAGCTACATTCCAAGTCTGATTACTTAAGTTTAATGCTATTAAATTTTTTTCCTTCCAAATATTTCAATTAAAAAAATCATTGTTAGGAATAGGAATAAATATGAGAATTAAAAAATTTAACTACAGCCGGGCACCGGTGGCTCACCCCTGTAATCCTAGCTACTCAGGAGGCTGAGAACTGCGAATCTTGGTTCAAAGCCAACCAGGGCAGGAAAGTCCGTGAAACTCTTATCTCCAATAAGCCACCAGAAAACTGGAAGTGATGCTGTAACTCAAGTGGTAGAGTGCTAGCCTTCAGCTGAAGAGCTGAGGGACAGTGTGCAGGCCCAGAGTTCAAGCCCATGACCGACCAAAAACAACAACAAAAAAATTAACTATAATATCTCTACATGGTCATTATGCTTCTCTGGAGCACCTAGATATAAAGATCAATTGGGAAGTGTAAAATATAAGGTTTTATTTTCTTGCCATTTAGAAATATTAAATAAAATTTTCTAAAAACTGTTTTATATACACTTTAGAAACATACCCACCCACCCATACATTCACACAATCCACCCCAAAATTCTAGGTTGTTCTGAGAAATACTGTACAATACGTTAAATTTGTAACTCATTTCATACATATTTCATTTCATACATATTTATTTTTTGCCAGTCCTGGGCTTGAACTCAAGGCCTCGGCAATGTCCCTGAGCTTCTTTTGCTCAAGGATATCACTCTACCACTTGAGCCACAGTGCTATTTCCAACCTTTTGTGTATGTGGTACTAAGGTTTTGTGCGTGCTAAGGCAAGCACTCTACCACTGAGCCACATTCTCAGCCCCATAAATACTTCTTTTTTTACTGTTGTTGTTAGGTCATGGGGCTTGGACTATGCCTGAGTGCTGTCCCTTTAGCTCTTTTGCTCAATGCTTGTACTCCTCCATTTTAGCCACAGCTCCATTTCTAGCTTTTTTAGTCATTAATTGGAGATAAAGAGTCCCATGGACTTCCTCCTTAGTATGACTTTGAACCATGATCCTCAGGCCTCCTATGCTTGGCCTAAGTATCAATTTTAATGAAACTAAAAATTAGTAATTAAGTAATGGTGCAATAAAACAAATAAAAGGTTAGGAGTTTAATGAACAATTTTTTTAAAAGAATCAAAGCAACATTATTTCCACATAAAAGTGGCATTTAATTCAAGTGACCAGTATATAGTATATTGTTTCTTCATTTGGGCAAAAAAAAGTGATTGTTCATAAAGAGGAAAGTCTATCTAAGATTACCATTAAATTAGGCCCTAAGCTGTAGGTCCTTTACACTTTGAATACAATTTCCTAAATAAAACTTAAAATACTTTCACAACTTCCCAAACAGTTATTATTGGAGAGAATTCATTAGGCACTGCTTTTATTTTGCACATTTTCTGTTTGGTTACAATGAAGAATAAGCTACTTCTTATAGAAAATAACATCAGTATGGTACACTATACAGAGATTCACAACTTATCCTTAATATAATTTTTTAATGACTTTACCACAAATAAAGAATAGAAAGGAAGCATTTCTTTTAAATTTTAAAATATTTGGACCTGTTTAAATTCTAAAATTTAATAACTAAGTCACAACTTGGTCTTAATCTGAAGTTAAATATTAGACATAAAAACAGAACATCCTCATATTTTTGACTTGATAACTATTTGTGTAACATTATGTATAAGTAATGTAGAAATGATTTTAAGTGATATAAGGATTTTATACAAAAATACTACATTTTATGTAAAGATTTCCTGTATCTGAAGATTTGGTATCTGTAAGGATCTTAAAACCAGTTCCTTATACTGAATGCTATTTTAATAGACACAGTACACTTAGACAGTTACTAACATTTTAACAAAATCATATTAAAAGTAAGACCACTAATACTGAAAACACCATCACTAAAACTGAAAGCAGATTAATATATACTGAAATACAACTGTAGAGTATGGCCAACCTTACTTCAGCAGCACAGTTAATACTGGAGATAACTTTAGAATCTTAACGCCAATATTTACGTGCTGCTAAGGCACTGCTGACATGATTATCATAAGAGCTATGCATGAAAAGAAATATACTTCTTCAGAAGATCAGGTCCTTGTATTTTTGAGGCAGCACAATATGGCCTGCACCTTTTCAAAATCCACAAACCATTATGTGCTGCTACTTTACTCCAAGGTTTTTTTTTTTAAATTCATATTAATACCTAAAGAATAATTTTTTAGTAAAATGGACTATTTTAAAATGCCCATGTTTAAAGAGTATAATGTTGTTACTGTAGCATATTAAAAAGATTTTGAGTAACCTGAAATTTTTACATCAAAAGGTAAAAGCCTACTAGGTATCCTAAACTGTTATAAATTAGGAATCACAAAGGTGAATAATATGAGGAAAATAATTTCAGTTCTTTATTTAGTAAGGAAATGTAATTTATTGATTGGATATGCAATCATACTTTTTAATGTCTTTTCCTCTTATAAGCAAAAAAGTGAATTCATAAAATTGCGTTTTACCTTGGTAAGAGCAGAATTTACAAATAGCTTTTTGTTCCTTGTAGTACATCTTTCAAAAAGCATCTTCATCAAGGCAGGTAAGACTTCATGTCAAGCTAAGACATGGAATGATACATAAGAACTCAGTTCCAATAAACTTAAGCTAGCAAAATGCATGTGCTTTAGAAGATAAACACTAGGAGCCATGTGAAACATTTAAATGCTAAACAGTATTAGACTATTTTGAGGGGAGAATGATAAAAAGGGTGATATTGATCAAGATGTATTGTACTACCAGGCACAAGTAACTCATGCCTATAATCCTAGCTACTCTGGAAGCTGAAATTTGAGGATCATGGTTCAAAGCCAGCTTAAGCACGAAAGTCCATGAGACTCTTACCTTCAATTAAGCACCAAAAAAGCTGAAGTAGAGTTGTGGCTCAAGTCATAGAACAGTAACTCTGAGCAAAACAGCACCCAGGCCTTGAGTTTAAGCCCCAGGACCCGCAGCAAAAAATTAAAAAAGAAAAAAGAAAAAAAAGTTTTTGAATGGTAACCCCTTTGGTGCAACTACTTAAAGACTGTTGATACTGATGACATTAAAATTATTTTAATCAAAATTATTTTTTTTCAAAAAAAAAAAAAAAAGCCCAAATGAACCAAATGTCCCTTATATGTTACAGAAAACCTAAATATTAATGCCAACATTTTTCTTTATATAAGAATTATTTTGTGTTGGATATTATTTGATATAATAAATATCTAGAAATAGAAGCCTTAGGATGATGTGGTAATGTGATATCCTGAGAGGATATAAGACAAAAACCATATAGCTCTTTATCTTCCTATTCTTTCCTATATCCATACCATTCACCAACAAGAATGTAGGAATTGCTTCACTCTCTAAGATACCAGAAAATACCACCAATTCCAGTTTCAATTATTTTTGCTTCAATTTTCTCATTAAAATGGCTATTGTTTTGAAGCAATATTATTTCTACATAGAACAGTAAGACTTACAAAACCAAAATACTCAAATTTGCTTCACAATTGTTTACACAAAGCACACTGTCACACATTTACCATTATATTTTGTATTTTTCTCATTAAAAATAATACATATAATACAAAAAATAATTTTTTACAAAAAGCATATTAAAAATAAACATAGGCAATTCTATTTATAAGCAA